GCCTGGCGCCGAAAAACAAATAACGACGGCGCCAGGCAAAGACCTTTTTATTCAAGCGGCATTTTAACTGTTAATATTATTGGATTTTATCTGGCCAGGGCGGCTTATTTTATACTGTATTTTTAATTTAATGTTTATATTTTTGATTTATAATTATTTTAACTTATTGTTGTAAGCCGCCCCGAGGCTTCGGCGAATGGGGCGGCATAAAAATGTTTTAATAAATAAAATAAATAAAATAAAACCATTCTGGAGATTCTAAGGAGAAAGTTGAACCCCAGGGGAAGACAATCCCCACCCCATTTTTGGTCAGTACATAGAAACATGGAAACAGAGCGAGCCAGAAGGGGTCTCCTGGGCCATCTAGTCTGACCCCCGGCTCCAGCCGGCTCCGCTCACGACATGCCCACCCTGTGCAAAGCAATGGGGCACCTCAAATTGCCAAGCGTTGTTCTCAGAACAAGGTGCAGAAGTGTAAATGCAGCAGTGGATTCTCCAGGAACTTTTTCCTCTTTGGAATTGCGCCCAACTAAATACGCCAAGCCAAATGAACTCTGCCTGCTTTTCTGGTTTTGTTCTGTTTTATTTAATGAACGCCTTAATGAAAGTTGCATATTAATAATCGTTTGCGTCAAATGAAAATTTGGATTCCCCAAACTTGTGTCGTATACCTTCGTTTGAGGTACTTTATCTCTGTGCTCTTTCCTTTGTTTAGCCTGTGGCTGAGAGCAGATTGATGGATTGAATAATAGCAAGAACATTTATATCACACCTTTGCTTGCAAGGAAAGCTGCATGGCCTACAAGGTTCCCCATCTCTCTGTTTTAGTCTCACAATGAGAACCCTGTGAGGTAGGACAGGCTGAGGTAGGACTGGCCCCAAGTCACCCAGTGAGTTGACTTGTGAGCAGATCCTGACTCCCAGCTCCCCCTTTCCTCTTCCATCAATGAAATGCATAAAGAATTAAATAAAATCAGTGAAAATTGGTCACAGAAGCAAGGTCATTAATCATTATGCAGAGAAACATTTCTCATCTGTCCTTTCAAACTGCAGGTAATAAACCTATATATAATTAATTCTTAATTAAACCATCAATCTTAATTTGATTTTACTTTTTAGCATTGTCTGTGGATTTTACCATACGTGTCTTTTTTTTTTTTTTTTGTAAGCTGTCCTGAGGCTTCTGCAAAGGACAGGGTAGAAATGTTATAATTTAAATTAAATTAAGATAGCATTTGCCCAAAAAATGACTGAGAAATGTTGTAAATAAATAAAAAACCCTCTGATCTTTAGGTTCTGTGGTCAAGTCCAAATAAATGCCTTTGGAACCGACTTTCCAACTTTGTTTCTCTGTTTCAACCTACAGGATTGTGTGCAGTTGAACCAATACAAGTTGAAAAACGAAATTGGAAAGGTATGTTACCGCAGCGTATGTTCTGTGCTGGCGGGTGGTGGATGGAGGAGAGATAGGAATGGCCGAAACGTCCCCGGGCGATTTGCACTAGATCACCGAGGGTTTCCGGGTGCCGTAAGAGCTGCGACAGCGACGATGTGCCAGCTTCCACTGGGCGCGAAAGAGCTGCTTGCGAGCTTTGCTTTGGTTCCGCTCTCAAATTCCCGAGCTGAGACACTTGCTCGGCGGCGTGTGTGAATGGCCACACGTGGCACTCGCCACCGCCTTGCAGCCGGCTGATCTCACGATTCTCCTGACGAACAAGAAGATCCTGAAAGCTGGCTTGGCCGCCTCTCTGGAGGGACCGTTCCGATTCTGGGGCCGGTGAATGAGCGAAGGAGAATGCGCATCACTGTCCGTGTGTCTGTTTGCAGGGCTCCTACGGTGTCGTGAAGCTGGCCTACAACGAAAACGACGACCAGTACTATGTGAGTGACCGTTGCTTGCACTGAGTTGGTGGCTGGTGATGCTTCAGGGCCACCTTTGCACTCTCCCTCTCCCTCTCCCTCCCTCCCTCTTTTTTTCTCTGCATCTTTAGTTTGCATTATTCAGTATTTATAACTTCATTTTATGTACCGTGCAAGAGCTAAAGCGCTCTGGATGGTTTGCAGCAGTGGAAACAGATTGCAAATGTAAAATGACGGTATGTGATGGGAGGACAAGTCAAAGGAGACTGCAGCGGTGGTGCAAACGTTTGAAATACAGTAACAGAGCTGGAACTGGGAGGATAAAATGCCTGGAGAAATAGGAAGGTCTTGCCCTGGTGTTGGAACGGGTGCAGTGCAGGCACCAGGTGAACCCATTTGGTAAGCGGATTGGGGTGCCGCAGCAGAAAAGGCTCCGTAGTTGATGTGCTGTGGGAGCGCATTCTCTCCTACGCACATACCATGGGTGCAAAGGCTACAGTCCAGGCGCTTGGGGCCTCTTCACCATCCTGTCCCAGGGCCGCCTGCCCCTTCGTTTTTCCTGAAGGAGCCTGATGCATTTCAGCGAGCCCTTGCAAGCCCGCAGGCACCAGGTGCTGCATTGCTCTTAACGACGGTTCTTCTAGTGGGTGAGATCTGGCTAGCCTTCTGCTGCCTCCGTGCACGTCACTTGCGACGGAACCACAGGCCTTTTTCGGCAGTGGCCTAGTGGGGCATTTTGAAGAGCAGGGATGTGCCACCACTCCCTCAACAGGTCCCTAAAGATTGTCCAGAAATGCAGCCTCTGTATGGATTAATGAACTGGGTCCAGCAGTTTCCTCTCCAGTAGAAGCTGGATTTTGATAAAGGGAATAGGCCATGATCAAAACCAGGTTAGTCCATGCTGGTTTGCACTGCTGCAGGGGCCAACATACGAGGGTGCGTCTCCTGGTGGGAGGCAGCTGATCCTCAAATCCAAGTCCTCTGCCACGGCCTGCCAGCCGGCCCCAGACTCTGATGCCGGTCCCTGTCTGGACAGCCCGTGGCCGGGGGCAGCTGCCAGCCAGCCCTCTGTGCCTTTCCTGGCTCCTTTGCCTCCAGCCTGGCTGCTGGACCGCCCTGACCAGAAAGGCTCTGAGCTTGCCCTGAGCGCGTGGATCCCTCAGAAGCTCTGACCAGTGGATTCCAGGAAAGGACCAAGCAGACTCTGCCACTGGGGAGGGGCAGTGACTCCCACGTCACCGGGACTCCGATCCTTTGGTGCTTTTTCTCCAAGGATGCCGTCATGAGCTGCCCTCTTCCCTCCTCGTCTCTGATTCGAAGCAGTCCTTCGAAATTCGGTTCTTTTATTGAGAATCTGGACGAGGAGACATTTTGCGCTCTTAATAGACATTGACCAAAGCCGGAATGAGGAGCCTCTGCTCACGGAACGGGCTGGATCCAGACTGGGAGCCCCCTTCCCATGGTCCCTCCCTTTCAGCAGGGCTTCTGGCCCCCCTTCGGGAGAGCGAGAAGGCAGACACGAAGGCCCCCCGACTGTGCCGGTCACTCCTCCAATGCCGCCACACTGCATCAAGGGCTGGGTCCCGTAGCTACACCCCTCCCCTGCTGAAAACCCCCCTCCCCTTCCACAACAGGCCGGCTCTCGCACTCGGGAACCTCGAAGGGGCTTCAGAGGCTTCGTTTCCCCCGCCCCCCCCCCCCCCCGGCCACGCTCTCCCAGGGACTCCACCTACCAGGCTGGAGGATCTGGCCACGCGCTGCAGATCCAGTGTGCTCTCCGTGGTGCTGAACGCCATCCCGAAAGTAGATTCTCCACCATGGAGCACCTGTAGTGGATAGAGAGCCCCACCGGCACGGACGTTAGTGGCTGCGCTTGCCTGCAGGCCCCATTTCTGTCCATCCTGCTCCACGTGAACCTGTTTCAGCGTGGCAAGGTTGGGGATTGTGGCACTGCGCCTTCCCCCAACAGCCCCCGTTTCCTGTCTGCTAACCAGACAGGTTGGGAGCAAGTGTGTGTGTGTGTGTCTATCTATCTATCTATTAAACGCTTTTGTGTGCCGTCCTTTATATCAATATCTCAGGACAGCTTACAGCAATTTAAAACAATATAAAACATCTAATGACATCACAGTGATACCATATAAAACAATAAATAAACATCTGATAAATTAAATCAAAATAGAATTAAGCAAAAGCGACTGGAAAAATCATTAAAACTTTTATCTGCTTAAATAAAAAGGTTTTGACCTGGCGCCAAAAAGAGTATAAGCTGTCCAGGCGTACCTCTCTGGGGAGCGCATGCCAGAGTCTGGGCGCCACCCCAGAGAAGGCCCTGCTCTGAGTTGATGTCCTTTTTGCCTCTTCTAGAGAGGGTTCCCAGAGCAGGGCTTCTCCCACAGATCTTAAGGGGTGTGAGGGCATATAAGGAAGGAGGCGCTTCTTCAGGTATCCTGGCCCGAAACCGTTTAGGGCTTGATAGGTCAAGACCAGCACCTTGGATTGGGCCTGATTTGGAACACTGCCCTGGAATGTGAATTTGGATATGCATGTGGACCAGTCTGGTGATCCAGGGCAGAGTTTTTCCATAGACTTTCATCTCTAAAACAGAACATGCTTCGCACAATTTAAAAAAAAGCTGCTGGGGGAATTCATACAATTTGCATAAGTGTAAATCTTTTTTATTTTCCCATGATTTAAAGGTTTGAGTCTGATTTTAATGTGGGGTTTTATTGTTTAGAAAATCAATTTGGATGCTGCGCTCCACTTTGGTTTACTGTAAGACCATCCTGAGACCTCGGCAGTGGACAGTAGATACATGTTTTCAATAAATACACAATAAATTCAATAAAAGCACAGCATTTTCCACTTGGTGCAATTTCTGCTGCAAGGGCCACCTTGTACAAATGGCCCTATTTGATGCCAATATCCCTATATGCAAATTGTAGCCTGTCTCAGAGACAGTCCAGTCTGGAGCATCCAGAATCCTGAATTCAGAATCAGGGCGAGGGGGGGGGGCTGAATTGGGAAAATCTCCCCCAACAAGATTTGCATGTTCCTAGGGAAGGGCAAGACTGAATCACTTTGCTGATCAGTGCCATTGGAATAAAAATATACACAATGAATGGAGAGGACCAGATTATATTTTGCAGACCCAAGTTCAAACCCCGAGCAGCATGAATATCTCACAATCTCTCCTTTAAACTTACCTTTCAGGATTGTAGTGAAAAAATGTTTTGATGACAATATAATCTAACATAAGAGAGTGAATGCCATTCTGAAAGTGGCAGTATCTTAATACCAGCAATTCTCAATTCAATAGTTCTCTTGGTTTTTTCCCTTCAAACCTGTACTATAATCAATAATCAATTATTACTTGCTAAATAGCTTTGAAGATCTCTTTGCTTCTGTGGCAATTTGCTGGAGGGTTGTGACTATTAAAAGGATGGGCTGCCCCCATGCCCTGCTTGGAAGGAGAGCAAAAGGAAAATGTATTCATTGGTAAATCTGTGTAAACTTGCATCATTTTCCAAACTCGTCCAAGTCTCAGAATTCTGCTTTTTAAAATGCAATGTTTAGGTTATAATTAGTGCTAAAAAGTTTACTTTTTACATGGGCTATTTGGCACAAATGCAGATGTTCTAGGGTACCATACAATGTTTTTGGAGATGCTTTTGGAATATAGGCAGGATCCTGGAATGTGTATTGTCACACGAAAGTATAAGGGTGGGAGACCTGATGTCCCCAGTTGCTTTTGGACTACAACTCTCATCAGTCTCAGCCAGCATATCCAATGAGTATGGGAATTGTAGTCTAAAATATGCCCTACCCTTCATCTAAAGTTTTGCCCTTTCTGTCTGGTGTGTACTCTCAAATTTACTGTGCCAAGTTTTTTCTCTCTCTCTTTTTAAATGACACTGCCTCTTCCACTTTCTCATTTTTTTCCTGCAGGCAATGAAAGTCCTCTCCAAAAAGAAGCTATTGAAGCAATATGGATTTCCACGTAGGTACCTCTGCCCTTTAAGGTTAGGGATACAGGAAATTGCTTTATAATAATTAAACTGTGGCTGGCTTCAGACATTCAAGGGTTGACCATGGCTTGTTGCTGTACTGGGGGTTGTTGAAACATGGTTATCATGTGGCCCAAACCCAGCAGCACTAACAGACCATGATTTCATTTATTAACCATGAACAACCCATGAAGAAACCATGGTTTGTTACAAACAGGTTCTGCAAAGTGTGGGATATAGTCCTTTCTCCTTGAAGAATTAATTGACTGAGGTCCAAGATGGTGTTGGGAGTTACTGGGTTGCAATGTCAGTTTTTTCTCCATGACCAGGGTGACTTTTGACCCCAGGAAGGTTCACACAATACCTCAAGGACATTTCTCACGCAGTGTTCTCCTGGAACCCAAACAGGAAGTGTCAGTCAAATGCAGCCAACAGATGAGTGGTGGAACCACATTACATTTGGGTGACGGTTCACTATCCCACAGTTCAATCTTCAGGTTTCGCAAAGTGGCTTCCCCCCAGAATGAAAGAAGACAAGATCATAAAGATACGTGCTAAAAGCAAACGAATGGTAGCCAAAAAACTCCAAGGCAGGGACGTTAAACATGGCATCAGCCACTGCCCCCACCCTGGGAAAGGAATTCCATTCCAGAATTGGGGCCACCACTGGGAAGGCAGTGTTTGTTTCTAATGGAGCTGGACCCCCACATGCAGTTGTGCTGGGAGAGGGCACTCCTGTTCTGAGTCAGCAAGCGCATGAGGAATTTTACGAGAACATTGCAGGCACGCTCAGAAAATGTCTTCCAGGTGAGCTAGCTTACTTTTCCTATGGCCCTTCGCAAAACTCATTTCCCAGAAGGCAAACTGGTGAGATGAAGAGGAATGGAGAGTGACCACGAACCTCAGTGCCAGGCAGAGGAGGGGTTGTGCTCCAAAGCAGAAAATCGTGCTTTTCAACCCAGTTAAAAATGGTGTGGGAGAACAGCACTTCCCTTTGCTGCATGCTCACCTCCTGGGTAAAAATAATTATTTAAAGCATCGTAAGAAAAAGAAAACATAGGCAGGGCTGAGAGCCTGCTGGTGCTCTCCTTGGGACCTCGCGGCTGCTAGGCAGTCCAGCTTCTTGTTCATCTACCTTGCACTGCCTTTTTCTCCACTCATGAGAGGAGGCTGATTGTCTGAGCACCACCATGAGGACTAGTGACATGGCAGCTCAGATTCAGCTTGTCCCTTGCGTCCAAACCCAGCCCTCTGCAAGTGGCACAGAGGCTGCAAGTCGGCAGGCTTGGATCACCTGAACAGCACCTGCGAGTGGCAGGTGGAAGAAACTTGGGGGTGCTTTTCATCTTCCCTCCTTCCTCTCTCGCTCAAGGGCGGCCTCCCCCGCGAGGGTCCAAAGCCGCTGCTGGGGGGCAGCCAAAGCCCATGGCACCTCTGGACCGGATCTATCAGGAAATAGCCATCTTAAAGAAACTGGACCACATCAACGTGGTCAAGCTGATTGAGGTGGGTTGCCCTGTGCGGCAGATGTGTTTGCACATCTGGAGTGCGTCCCTTTTGCTCGAGGGCGTGGACTAAGGCGAGGGGGCGTGGCCAAAGAGGCAGGTGACTGCCCGGGCTTGGTTAAATGCAGCCTCCAAAGAGGTGCTCCAGCCTCTCGGCTTGGGGGGAAACTGTTTGCTGTGGAAGGAAAGGGGTTAGAGCTAAGGGAAGGGGTGGGGCCCCCTGGGGAGACACGAGAAATTGGATGCTCCGGTGGGCTGGGCGGGACCTCCACATCCCCCGTTCTCCATGCACTCCATGGCCTCAGCCTCCAGGGATGAAGGCTTGTGGCACAGAAAGGCCGCATCCTGCCCTTTCTGCAGAGATGCCATTCGCCATGCTTGCCCTTTGAAGACTCGCTTTGCATGCATCCCTGCTGGCGTTGGGCACCCTCCTCTTTAGGCAGGTCTTTTATTTCAGGAAGGAATTCGGAACAGTGGCTGATGGGAGACTGCTGTGGGCGAAAAGCTACTCAGCTTTGGAAGAGCAGAGTCAGAGCAAAGGCCTTGGCCTGCCTTGCAGGCTTCGACCCAGCTGAACTCAGGCACAATTCCCTGGGAATGCGCAGAGCAGAATTCTGCTGCTCCAAGGCTGGGAAAGTGGAGACGGCAGGGAGTTCCAAGGGCAGCGATGGGAAGGATGGGGATGGCTGGAGATGAGGGATCCAGGAACTCTCCCACTCCTCTCCTCTGAAGTGTCTTGGCTGAAATCTTCCGTCTGCTTAGCAAAAGACCAGGAAGGCGGAGATGGCTGGCCCCCCTCTGTGCTCTGGGCCGGACGCACGATGCTCGCCAGCCGTTTGAGTTTGGAGGTCTGAAAATGTCGAGGGGGCAATGATAGTGGCGTCTCTAAGTCTCTCCCTCTCTCTCCCTCCCTCCCAGGTACTGGACGACCCCGCAGAAGACCACCTGTACATGGGTAGGCAATTTGTAGGGATGTGAGAATGGAGGGGGGAGCCCTACAAGGTCAGGGGCCTCCCTCAATCCAGCACCCCGGGAAGCACCCAAGCGAGAAAGGGGAGCCTCTCCAGCACCCCTCATCCCCGGCAGTTCCTCAGGTGCTGGCCCTGGAGTGCCTTGCAGCCACTGTGGCCCAAGGACTCTGCTTCAGGAGATCCAAGGCCCATCTGGGGTGTGGCGGGGTGAAGGATCCATTTGGGGTGCATGTCTGGCGGATTTCCCCAGACCGCCGCCCCCTTGCAGCCGCCCTGTTCACAGAGTGCTTGAGAGGAGTGGAGTCCCACGTCCTGCACAAGTGGCATCCGTTCTCCACAGCACGGGCGCTGCCGTGGGCCCTGGTGCAGGAGAAGGTTGCCTTTCTCCGCGAGCGCTCGTGGGCTTCCTCTCGACTCGGCTCCCTTTGCAAGAGCAGGCCAAGCGCGAGAAGAAGCCTGCGAACACCGCGGTGTCCTGTCCCTCGTTATTTATTGTGAGCAACAGAGCAGAAAGTAAAAGGCCATTTGTGTCATCCAGCAAGGCAAATGAATCGAATCATACTCGGTGCGATTTGGACATGCCAGGAAAGCTTGCAGCCTGGAATGGTTCCTGTGTCAGCCAGCCAGTTGGCCATGGCCCTCTTCCAGGGTGCTCTGTTCCGTCCCACGCAGATCCAACAGGCAGTGAAGTTGTGTGGTCCCCAGTGGGCTGTTTGGGGTTGGTGGTGCTCATCGGCTTCCCCTAAATCCGTTCCTTCACTTGTTTCTCAGGAAGCCCAGCTAGTTGTGAAGGAATGCCTGCACTTTCCATGGTTTTGGTGAGGGGAGAATGTGTCTGGGCAGACTCGAGCCTTGTTTGTTACTGTCGAAGTCCTACGTAGTGGTTGCTTTCTGGAGAGAAAGAAACAATCATTTTGAGTATTGTTAGACAGTGGTACATTTGGTTCTGCAAATAAATTTTTGCAATAAACGTGGCTCTGATCATGGGGAGATTCTAGCAAGGTGGGAGATGTGTTGAAAGTTGGGAGCTGGTCAGATGGCAAGGCAGCCACATCACAGGTGGAGCGTGGGTTGTCCTTAAACCATGTGTCATTTCTGATTGCAGTTAAACAATGAGAAAGCCCTAATGTTTTTCTTTTGTCTCTTGCAGTGTTTGACCTCCTCCGGAAGGGGTAAGTGTCAAGGTTTCATGCTAAAAGTAGAAGTCATAGCCCCATCTAGACTCTTCCCCACCTGCCCAGAAAGTCCAAAAATACAGGTTGCCATGTGAATTCATACCAACAAACCATTTGTAGCATTTTTAATGCCTCCCAGGAGCAGGTCTTTTGTCAAGCAGATGGTCCTCGCAGCTCCTTCCACGCCAACTCGCCCCTAAATATTTCGCATTGCAATGGGGCAACATAATGTTGCTTGGAAAAGCCATTTCACCCTGCTAATCAAAAAACGCTGGAATTGCATTCCAGTGGACCCCGTTCTGCTACAACACTGGGTATTTATTTAATATTTATTTATTTAGGGAACTTCTATGCCGCCCCATTCGCCGAAGCCTCAGGGCGGCTCACAAACATAAATAAATAACATCATATAAAACAATATAATTTAACAATATAAATTAAGTCGCCCTGGCCAAAGAATAAAATAAATAAATAATATTAACAATTAAAGTAACGTTTAAATAAAAAGGTCTTCACCTGGCGCCGAAAAACAAATAACGACGGCGCCAGGCGGACCTCTCTGGGGAGCGCATTCCAGAGGTGGGGAGCCACCACAGAGAAGGCCCTCCTCCGGGTGCTAACCCTCCTAATGTCCTTCATGGAGGGCTCCCGGAGAAGGGCCTCTCCCGCTGATCTCAAGGGGCGGGAGGGCATATATGGACGTAAGCGCTCCTTCAGGTAACCAGGACCCAAGCCGTTAAGGGCTTTATAGGTCATCACCAACACCTTGAATTGGGCCCGGACTTCAATGGGGAGCCAGTGAAGCTGACGGAGAACTGGGGTCAAGTGAACATAACGCCCAGTCCCCGTCAGCAGCCTGGCAGCTCTATTTTGAACCAATTGAAGTATCTGGACCGTCTTCAAGGGCAGCCCCACGTAGAGCGCATTACAGAAGTCTAATCGGGAAGTGACCAATGCGTGTGTCACCGTCTCCAGGCAGTCGTACTCCAGGTAGGGGCATAGCTGATTAATCAGCCGAAGCTGAAGGAAGGCGCTCCTCGCCACCACCGTCACCTGAGCTTCCAGTGAAAGCTCTGGGTCGAGGAGCACTCTCAAGCTGCGGACCTTGTCCCTAAGAGGGAGTGTGATGGAAGGTGTGCGGGAGCCGTGCGTAACTTGTAGCCCTCCAGATGTCATGGTCTACAGCTTCTGTGAGCCCAGGTGAGCATAGGCAATGATGATATGCCATGCTTCCCGGGTTTCACAGAAAAGGCCGGAAATTGGCACTCAAATTAGCTTGCAGAAGCTCTTAGCTTGTTTTCTTTCTGCATTTAAACTAATCTCATATCTGGAATAAAAGGACAGGAAGGGTGTGATCTTGGAATTCTCTCTTCCTAGTGGCTGTCCATCAGGGGGTCATGCGGGGGTTTTGGGCTAGACTAAGCAGAGAGATGTGAGGCATCTCTTTGGGGGTGGGAATTCAGCCGGTCCCCAGGCTTGGCTCCCCAGACTCTGTCCCACATCGCAGCTGCCCCGAGTCCAGATACCTGGGGCGTGTGCCCTGCATTTGTGGGGCACCCATCGGGCATCAGGCCCCACACAGTGTGCCAGCAGTACACCCCTCTTGCGCACACACTGCTGGCTGCCCCAGTGGGGAAGAAGGTGGGTCTCTGGGAAGGGGACCGTGCGAGTGCCGTGGGAGTGTGCTGGCGACGCGGCTGCAGCCCCGGGCGCATCCATGGGCCCCTGCTTAGCTTGACCTGCTTTGCACAAGAACGGACCAGGGGCTATGGCAAGAGCCAGCTGTGGGTGCTGGTCCAGAAAGGTTCCTTCCAGCCCTGGCACCGAACAGAGCGCCGACGGGCTGAATGCACGGGCACTCGCCAATGTCCCGCTGTAGGTCGTGCCCTTTTGGTCGCAGCGTCTGCGTCGGGGCCTGTCCTTCCTGGGGAGGGGCCCGCCTGTGCCACGTGCAGCCGGCACCTTCCCAAGCTGTGGGGCTGGCGGTCCCTGCGGTGCCTCTGTCTCTTGCCCCTGCATCTGGGCGCTGGTGCGGGCCTGCCATGGGCCATACCGGGGCCCAGGCCTGACGGGCTCCTCCTTGAGGGTGCTGGACCCAAGGAAGGGATGCAGCCCCCCCCCCCCGTTGCTCTCCTTGTGCCCCCCAGGCCAGTCATGGAAGTGCCGTGCGACACGCCTTTCACCGAAGAGCAGGCCCGGCTCTACTTCAGGGACATCGTCCTGGGCATCGAGTACCGTGAGTGTCTCAGTGCTGCCTTTTCGCGACGTCTCGCGCAGCTGCGACTCGGGGCTGGGGCAGATGCTGCAGCTTCGGGCTTCAGATGAGGAGCAGGGAGCCCAATCCGGATCGGGACCGGGGCTTTAGCCCTTCCCCCTGCCCTGAGTCTACTCCAGAGTAAAAAGGAAGGAAGAAACTTGAAGGACGTTCCTACTCTTTAAAATAATGTCTGCTTTTCCCCTGAGATTAAGTGAAGGTGGGTTAACTTCTGGAGCATTTTTCTGGTGGAGCATTTCGTTTTTCTCATCATTTTTAGTAACGGCACTGCATTTCTGTGTCTTGGGAGCCAAAAAGGTGCCACTGTAGGTTTGTGGCGGGCTGCAACGGACAGCAGCCCTCCTTATGCACCCACCTGCAGATCTGGGCTCAGGATCTTGGAGTACCGCTTGCTCGGATGTTCCCCAGGGTGAGCCCCGCTGGAAAAGCACGATGGTCCTTTTCCACACAGCTCCTGTTGGCTCCACTGGGACGGCACGGAAGAACTTCTCCGTGGGCGCATTTCCTGGAGGACTGGGCCTGAGTTTGCGATGGCGTTCTCTGGCTTCATCAGCATTTATGGCTCAACATTCCGGTCTGGAATAGTGGCTCGGAAAGGGGTGTTAACTTGGCCTACTCCAGTATTTAAAGTGCGCAGATGAGAATGTGCAGAGGTCGTCTTTTCTGCTTGGACATGTGTCAGGACTGAGTTTTTTGGCTCACCGTGTGAACTCTCATTTGTGATAAGCAGGTATCTAGGGTAGGCATGTCAGTCTTTGGCCTGGCACTGCAACATGGAAAGCATTTTCGTTTAGGATTGACCGGGATTAGGTAACACAAGAATCCTAACTCAGGGGTTGTGGTTGGGTTGTGGTTGAATTGTGGTCTGAACCCAGCCGAGATAACAAGCTGTGGTGAACAACCTGTGGTTGTAATGCAACAGCAAACCTTGCATTCTTTTGATGAGTTATCTGTGGTTATCAAGCCATGGCCTATGGGCACAACAGGATTAGATAAGTCTGTTAGTCCTGATAGCTACTAGTCCAGATTGTTGGACCTGAAAAGCTGCTAGTCCTGAGTGATCACACTGAATTCTGTAGTTCCACAGGGTGCTGTTTGGATCCAGCCCTGCTCTTCTTCCATAGTTTGGATACTTACTCTTGCATACGGAAAAGGGCTTACTCTTGAGTAGACATGCAGGAGGTGGTAGCCAGGAGGGTCCTTGACAAGAGCAACTGGAGGGTTTGGGGGAGTTTGCTGAGGCTGTTTCCAGTTCTTCTGCCCATCCACTCACCACCTGCCTCTCCTTCCAGCCAAACCCTGAAAACGGATCTCAACCAGAGATCTGCCCCACCTTCTCTGAGTTCAAAACACAAGCAGGATTCCAGTACAGAAATTTGCTGATGTTACTGTTACAGCAACAGCTGCAGTGATGGGTCTTTGCATCCGATGGGGCAGCTCTTCAGCGTGAGGCTTCACCTGTGGCTCATGTGCCCGTCATTCCCTGCTCACACTCGTATTTATGGGTCCTTAGGCAATGTCTGAGTCCCTGTTCTGTCTCAGCCCACCTCCGGCAAAGAATTATAGTTTGTTCGCTTCCAAGAACCTGCAGTTTACTACCTGGCAATGGAGCTTTGATGTGAAGTTGCAGGTGGACTATCAGATAATACATCCCTGCCTTCCAGTGGTGCAGAATCTTTCCCCAGTGTAAGGTTTGGCTGTGGAATGGATGAATTTGCTGCTCCCAGGTCCCGGAACGAAGAAAGATGACTGTGTTGATGAAGGAACAACCCCAAATCTACATTAGGCCAACCAAGTGATTCCCTGCTCCAGAATAAACGTGCAGGCTTTCCCGATCGTCGAAACTCCTCATCAGCCAAGATGTTAAGCAAAGCACATTGGGGGAGGGGGGGATGAAAAGGGGGGGCTTCCCGTGATTCCACCAAGGCAGCCTCAAATGACTTGAGGAATTGATTTGCGCGTGGGGAGGCTTCCCGCAGGGCGCCACGTGCTCCAGAGCGTGCGTAGTTTACCTGAGCCAGCCTGAGCATACGGCCTCTGTGCGCCGGCCAGCAGTTTTCCCACGAGGGAAGCATTTCTGCGCCCCGTGGTCCGTGCCGGCAGATTGCTGAGTGGCCGCTGCGGCAGCACCGCAGGCACGTCACAGATGCAGGTCACGTCCGTTTGCGGCAGAGGACTGGGTGTGCGGAGCAGCTGGCTCCCACGGTTACAGCTGCCCTTCGGAAAGGCACGGAGTCGTGGGCCGACGCTCAAACAACGCTGGCTTAGGCGCCCAGAATAAGGCTGGGAGACTGTTTATACTTGGCCTAAAGTTAGATGCACATCATACAAATCTGTGCTCAGCTGAGGATCCCAAAGCAAGGGATAATGGTTGCATCTTAGGGTTTGCACCTGAGTAAATGTGTGCGGAGTTGCACTGCCCCAGAAGCAAGTATCCCCCAAAGGCCATCGGGGCCATAGTGCTTGCGCTGCCTCTGAAGTGAGGTGGGACCCCCCCACCCATCGGCCATCACAGCCTGAGAAACCTCTGACCTTCCGCAGTGCACTACCAGAAGATCATCCACCGCGACATCAAGCCCTCCAACCTGCTGCTGGGGGATGATGGGCATGTGAAGATCGCGGACTTTGGCGTGAGCAACCAGTTTGTGGGCAGCGACGCACAGCTGTGCAGCACCGCCGGGACGCCGGCCTTCATGGCCCCCGAGGCGCTCTCGGAGTCCGGGAAGAGCTTCAGCGGGAAGGTACGGCTCTGCTGAGGGGGTGCCCTCTGTGCAACAGGAAAAGCCCCCCTGCTTGGGGGGCGTAAGCCCAAGGAGGAGGGAAGAACGCCTCTCCCACCCTCCCTGGGCTTCATGTCCATTGACTCTCTTGCAGCCTGCACAGATGGCCGATGGTCGGTCAGGACCCCGAGGGGGTGGGATGGGCTCCCACGGGAGGCAGTTGAGGCCCCGTCGGTGCGGGTGTTCAAGGAGAGGCTGGACGTCCACATGGTGGGCATGTGAGCGGAGCCGGCTGGAGCCGGGGGTCAGACTAGATGGCCCAGGAGTTCCCTTCTGGCTCTCTCTGTTTCTATGCTTCTAAGTTGTGAGAACGTGCACACTGGGGATGCCTGAGGAATCCTTCCAGGGTTGGGAATCCATCGGATTTCGTGGGCTCGGCTCCCCGGACGGAGGCCCAGAGCCTGAACTCCTGGCGAGCCGGCCCCACGCGCTCTGCTCACCTGGTGGGGTTGCCCACGCAAATGGCAGCGGCTCCTCAAGACGAAGGAGCCCAGTCTGGGCATTCGCGAGGGGCTCACCAGCCCCGCAACCACCGCCCAAGCAGTGTCCCTTTTCTGCAGCAGCTGCAGCCACGTTCTGACGTGGAAGGAGGTTGCCCGTTGCACAGCTGGGGCTCCACAGGCCCTCGCAGGCTTCCTCTTGGCTCGGCTCGCTTGGAAGACTGAGCCCGAGAGCGCTTGGCCGGATGGACCCTGACCGGCCACCCTAACCCTCGTGCATACCACTGAGGGGTGCAGTCCCCTGATCTCAGGATTGCACCTTCCACTTCTGATATTCAGAGATGGCTTGCAGGTGCATTTATCGGCAAACCAGTGGGAAATACCAGCAGGATGGAGAGAACCACGATGCTTGCAGAGGTACGATAAACCTTTAAGGGAGGTGAAAACCCCAAGAAAGGGGGGAATTCCCCATCTTGACTATCTCTGGTGCCAGGTGAAAACAGTCCTTCTCCTCCAGACATTTTAACAATTAATTTTATACTTGGATATGGTTTATACTATTTTAAGCTCTAATATTTTTTAACTTACTGATATCTGACCTCGGCTGCGTAGTTCTCTGTTTTATTGTATGTTGTTTCAGGCGCTGGATGTCTGGGCCATGGGAGTAACGCTCTTTTGCTTTGTATATGGGAAGGTAAGATGTCTCTTAAGAGGGGAGCTTGGGTATTGTAGTGTGAGTGAGCAGCGGGGATACATGTTTTCTGCTTTAGTTTTTAATGTGTTTAGTTCTTTGTGTGGTTTTGCCCTGTCGCTGGTTTAATTTTTCTTACTTTTTTCTGTTCTGCTCTTCTTTTTCATCCTTGTTTATCTGTCTTGTTTTACCATAGTGGCCAAAAAAGTCAGATAAAATGACTTTGTATTTTATTATTTAATTTGTGCAACATCTGGAGGAAACTGGTTATTGGTGGTTTTAGAAATGAAGTATTTGCTAGTTAAGAAGTGAAACGAGAAGAAAGGCGCTTGCAGTGCCACGGTTCCTGGCTGGACACTGACCGAGGGATCCCTTTCCCTTCATTTTCTTTTGTCTGACAGTGTCCTTTCATTGATGAATTCATCCTGGCTCTTCACAACAAGATCAAGACCAAGCCAGTGGAGTTCCCGGAAGAGTAAGTCAACCTTACAGAGCTGTGGAACAAAATTGCTCACTTGGGCCCCCGCTCTGGGGGTCTCTTTCGCACAAGGCATTCCTTGTGTACTCACAGTTCTCACACACAGCGGGTTGCAAGTGCTTTTCCCCAGCACCACCCCCTTTTGCTTTGTGTGTTTTTAAGAAAAGGGAAGGGAAACGAGGTATTGTTTTGCAACAGGGAAAATGGCGTGCCTTCTCCTGGTGTAGATGCGCTGTTCCAATATAGCAGAGCGCCACCTAGAGGCTGCACCTGGGGATAGCAGGAAAAAGAGCTTTTTGTACAGAGCATGGTCCGCGATGCCACGATGAAGCGCAAAGTAGATACAAGGACAAACAGCCTCATGGAGAAAAGCTCTGGGTTCAGGCATGTGTTTGGCACGGAAACACTCCAGGTTGAGGCTAGTCTGGCCCACTGATGGAAAGGGGAATCCATAATTAACGGTGAGCCATTTCATGACCTTTAGCGACCCTTCGATCTCCAGCGACCTTCTTGCGCTGTCCACCTGCAGGTGAGGAGCGGGGCACGTTCGACCCAGAGAGCTGTGCCCCCTTCCCCCGACCCTGCCCTCTTTCCCCCATTGTCGGCGCCTGGGTGTGTTCTTGATTTTTGTGCATTTTTTCACTTTCTGAAAGGTTGAAACACTTTAGAGACTAGAAAGAAGAGCTTTAAGCTGCAATCGGCTGTGATCTTTTCTGTATTTTTGAACCTCTCTTTCTGCCTTCAGCCCCCCGTTCCATGGAATTCAGCCCTGGGGAGCTTCTCCAAAGTGGGATACAGCCCTTGGGTTGAACGTGTTTATTTATTTATCCTATTTCCATAGTGTGCAAAAGTCTCGGCAGGCAGTTTGCAATAGCACATGAAATAGAATCAAACCGCCGTATTAAAAAATACAAATAACAGGAAAGAGAGCATAAAAATTAGGGAAGAGGTTTGCCACTCGCTCCAAAATGGATGTCTCTTTTCCCATGTCTGAAATGATATTTCTCGCCCAATACGAGCAAAAATAAAATAGTTCTCCTCTCCTAACAAGGATTCCCCACAACTTCTTCATATTTTGTCTGGGCAGATTTAGGTCAGTAGAAATTGTATTTTGTCCCTTCAAGGAGTGCCAAGTCAAAACCTGTTTTATCTTCAGAAAGGGGGTGCAGTTTGCCATGCGTAGGGGCTACCCTTGGCTGAAGAACAGGGCAGCAAGATAAAGCGATCAGTAGAATGAATAATCCTGTGCGCCTGAATATGTCACTGTATTTTCATGAGACTGAGTGAAAAGCCCCACATTTTCTCAGCATCTTCATTTGGTGAGAAGGCGTTTTTGGTGGCCGAGAGGCCTCAGGGCGCATATTTTTAATTACCAATAAAGAGAGAACAGGCAGGTTGGATCCAAAGGCATTTGATCTCATGGAGGGTTTTGTTCTTTGCTGAGAACAAAGGGAGAGATTTGGGGGTGGGAGGGGAACATTTTTGCCAGTCTCCTCTCCCCAGTCCAGCCCCCATGTCTGATCTCCAAAGTTTGGTCCAGAGAATTGGGGTTCTTTAGAAACAATGCTGAATACAGGCCGGAGAGGCAGAATATTAGCATAAATATACTAAATTAGGTCTGTTGCTCTAATGCATTCATACAAACGCACTCACATGTCTGCATGGCAAGCAGCTAATTTTTTCCCTAATTAATTACCCCCGGGCTAATCACCTCCAGTCTAACCTGTCCACCCCACAAAAATTGTGCTTTGGATGAAATTTGAAGCTGCGATTCTCCCATTCCAGCACCTCATCTGGGCAAAGAATTGCTGACATACTTGCATGAATTAATCCTTCATTTCCCATCACAGTGTAAGGATGATGTGGTATCATTGCTCGGAAAGGACTGGGGGCGGGTGGAGGATTTGGAGTGGGGTGGGAAACGCAGCCCGGAAAAGCAGTGCACCTTCAAAGAATGTTATTTCCCTTTTTATTTTGACCTTGCTATCCGTGTAGTACACTGTTCAGAAATATTTAAGACACATTACCCGAGTTGTCATCTTTGTGGAAGAAAGAGCACGTCCTTTACACATATTTTTCTGAGACTTTCTTTCTGCCTTCCTGTATGTGCCATTGCACGACCACAAGGAGGCACTGTGCGGTGGCGCAATTCTTGCATTACATGTGCTTGTTTCTGTACAATATCTAGACAATTTTATTAGATATTCTGTATTGCTGCTGTTTCTGTGCTGAAGAGCAGCAATTGCAATTACGGTTTTGCTGCCAGCGAATGGTCCTCACAGGTGGCTTTCCTGTTAGGATCAGCCAAGGAAAATTACGACGGAGACAAGGAGAAGCTGGGAAATCTGTGGATGCAGACCCTCCGTTGGAGCTAAAAATGTTCTGAGAACTTTCAGCAGAGCCTTAATTTATAAGAGCCATAATGCAGATGGTGAAGCAAAAAGCATAAAGCAATTGACCGGCAGGGCCAAGTCTCCGGTTACACAAAGCACCTCCACTCTAGGGTAAAACCAAACGAGCAATGAGCTAGCCCAGTGTAGTGGTTAAGAGCACTGGGCTGGGGCTTGGGAGATCTGGGTTTGAGTCCCCGCTCAGCCATGGAGCCAACTGGGCGACTTTGGGATAACCACAGACTCTCAGCCCAACCTACCTTGCAGGGTTGTTGTTGTGAGCTAAGATGAAGAGGAGGAAGAGAATTATCTCAGCTGCTTTGAGTTCCTTAAAAGGAAGAAAGATGGACTATAAATAGAATGAATAAATAAAATAAATACAGTTACAAGAAAGGCTAGTAGGGGCAGGTTCCAAAGCCAGCCTTCAAGGAGCTATTCCTGCGACTGCATTTGACAGAACAACTGGTGAAAAGTCATAGTTTGTGATGCAGCTGCAAAAAAGGCAAATGCGATTTTAGGCAGCATTAATAAAAGTACACACTCTAAACAAGTTTAATGTCACTTAAGTCCCGCTGATTTTATTGGCTATATTCTAAGGATGGTTGGTTGAATCCAGCCAGAGTCCAAGTCAGGGGAAATGCAGCCTCCACTGTGTTCTGCATGCGTCAGCCCTGCTTGGAGTTCTGTGTCCAGGTTTTGGTGCTTTAAGGAGGAGGAAGGCAAACGGGAAAGGGTCCGGAGGTGGGCAGGACCAGTGGTTGCAGTGTGGAGATCAAATCCTACAAGGACATGCTGAAAAAGTCTGCCGGCTTTTGCCTGAGGAGGGGAAGCTTGCTGAATGACATTCCTGATGGAGCGGAAAGTTCTACTTGTGCTCTCACAAGCATGTGCAGAAATCTCCCACTGGCCTCCCAGATTCCAGATCCCCCTGGAAGCAGAAGGGAACTGTAGCGGAAACACATGTAATGGTGAAGGATCAAAATGCTGCAGCGAGGAGTTCCAGTTTGCCAGCCAGCCAGCCATGCCCACTTCAGTGGTACTCCATTGCCCACCCAGTGGTCAGTCAGTATTCCTTTTGCCGCAGAGCGAATTCAGTATTCGTTAGGCTGGTTTCTCTGAGGGGGAGCGAGCCCCTTCCGCATCGGGCATCATTTTCCCCTTTAAGCTCTGTTCTTCCACAGCAAGCCCTGAAACTTGGCAAGTGTGCTGATGCCATTTTGCTTATGGAAACCAAAGATGCGATGGAGCCTCGGAAAGCTGCTGCTCTGCAGAAAAAGGGAGCAGAAATTTCTCTTTGTTCTTCTTCCGAGATCCTGGGCATCTTGCCCACCTTTTCCAAATGGCCGTGCATTAATTCCCCCCATCTGCCTCTGCAGCGAGGGGTTAAAATTTTAACAGGGCTGGCTGAGGAGCCCTGCCCAACCTTTTGCCTCACTTCTGATCTCTCCTGCAGCAACAAGTCACTGCCTGGCTATTTGGACATCCCACTGACCGCTTCTTGCCTGCCTCGGGAGGATGTTGTGCAGTGTGCTGCATTTCCCAGAAGCCCATTAATTTGAAAAAGGCAGTGAGACCTGGGAGGGAGCAGGAAATAACCTGAAATGAGAACATACGGGCCGCGTCCACTTCAGGCCCCTCATGGGCTCGGTTGCATTTGGAAGTGGAAAGAGGCTGACTTCCCGGTGTGACGGGAAGGAAATCAATGGCAGCCCATTAGCCTTCGCTATTGCTTTCCTTTTCCTGCTTGAAGTCCGTGGGGTCAAGAACCTCTTCAGCTTTTCACTTTGAGAGGGCAGCTGCAATCTTACACCAATTTTCTCTGCCTTTTCAGGAAGTTCAAAACAATTTTGCTTCCACACTCACTGAGAGATGAGTGGTTCCTTTGAAGGGTGGTCTTTTTAACAGTGTGATCACATGCTTGGAAGAAAACCCTGTTGAGTATGATGGGACATATTTGTTTATTAGGTTTCTATCCCACCTTTCTTCTTTTAAAGAACTCAAAAAGGCCTCCATCATTCTCTCCCACTGCTCTCAGTCTTATCCCCACAACAGCCCTGTGAGGTAGACTGGGCTGAGAGTCTGTGCCAGCCCAAAGCCTCCCAGGTGGCTCAGTGGCTGAGCGGGGGCTTGAACCCGGATCACCTGAGTCCCAATTCACTCTCTTCACCAGGATGCCACACTGGTTCTTAGGGGACACAGATTGACTGGGCTCAGACGACAGCATAACTCACACTTAATGGCTGGGAATGGGTAAACTGGGCGCTTGTTGAAACATGGTTTATCCTGTTGTCTGAACCCAGCTGCGCCAATATCCCATGGTTTGCCAGTACAAGCAACCCACGAAGAGAGCCCGTGGTCTGTTGTCGGGCTGTGAACGGTGAATCGTGTGGTGTTAACGAAGCATGGAGCCTGGATCCCAACAACCCGGTGCCCACGTTTCATCAGCTGCCTCTAGTTCAGGGACAGCCCCCACTCAAGCCATGCTTAATGCTTGATCCTGGGTTATCGTGTTGTCAGAACCCAGCCAAAGTCAGGTGAGCGGTATAGGAGTGCAGCCTCAAAGGCTAAGCGGAGGATCCGGTCTGATGCTGCCCCACCTTCCTGAGCCCCCACCAATCAGTGCAGACCATACGGGACTAGATGGCCAATGGCCTTGCACCATGTAAATTAGCTGCCTTTGATCCCACAGCGAGAATGCTGGATTAGGGCTGCAGAGGTGCAGGCCGTGCATCTCACTGGGAAGCCTTGGGCCAGGCACTCTCGGCCTAACCTACCTCGCAGGGTTGTTGTGACAGTCCAAGAGGCAGGGAGAGAACCATGAATGCTACTCTGAGCTCTTTGTAGCAGTGAGGCATGTGGAATAAATAAAAGTGCCTTACCGGTGGGCTTCAGACCACACTCAACATGCCTGTGACCAAAAGGATGCCCTTTCGAACGAGGAGGTATTTGCCCGTCTGCAGTACCCCTCTTAACCGCACGCTCTGGGTTTCCTTCCCTCAGACCCTGGATCAGCGAGGAACTCAAGGATCTGATACTGAAAATGCTGCAAAAAGTCCCTGAAAACAGGATCGCTGTACCTGAAATCAAGGTAACGAGCGCATGAGTGTGAATTGTTCACTCGGGGCCAGAGGTTTGCAGACTGTGAGCTAGCAGGACTTTAAACTTTGAGTTGCCTGCTTGAATATTATTGTCGTTTTGATCAGCGGTGTTGTCGGGGAATTTGAAGTCGGAGAGCTTTCTTGGGATCCCCTTGGCTGCGATCCTATGCGTGGTTACGTACCTGGGGGCTGTCCTCGCTCTTTTCAGTGGACTGCAAGTAAGTTTGAGTGGTAAAATGCCCTAAGCTTTAGGAAAGCTCTTCAGCTGGTTTGTCGCTTTTTCCTCGAAATGCAAACCACCATTAGCGCAGCAATCGCTAGTTTGAAGCAGGATTTCTAGCAAAGAAAAGGAAGGAATTATCCCATTACTGCTTAATTGTTTCCCTCTCTCGCTGGCCACTCTGCTGATCTGTTTTCCGGTTGTTTTGAAAGCTTTTAAGCTGAGTTATGCTGCAACTGTAAGTCTTTCAGGAGGAGGAAGAGAATTTATTACATTTCTATACTGCCCTGCAGCCAAAGCGCTCCGGGCGGTTTGCACAATCCATAAAAGCAAATGAGAAAAATGCAATAAAAGTGTCAGAAAAATTTAAAAAATGCAAGTTTGAACAGCTAAAAGCAGAGGATAAAAGTAATGCAAAGGCGTGACTGCAGCATCTGGTCATCCTGCCGAGCCCTTGGGCTGCTGATTAAGTCCTTAAAAACTGCAGAAAAGAGGACCGTCTTAACCTGGCGCTGGAAAGATGGCAGAGTTGGTGCCAGCTGGACCACAGTGGGGAGGGGATGTCTCGGATGGGGGGCCCCAGTGCGAAAGCCCTTCCCCTAGTGGCCACCCTCTGCACTTCACTCAGAGTTGGCCCTTGGAGGAAGGCTCCAGAGGCTGAGAAACCACTCATACACTTTTCAGTAAAATGAGCACGTGATCGTAAAACTTGAAAGCCTTGTTATTACCTCAGCAGTCGCCAGAGCAAGGAGGAACTGTCTGTTACCCTTACAGGGCCTTCAGCAAACCAGTTGCATTTCTCAAACTCATTTTCTTCTTCAATATGGAGGTCATAGACTGAGCTACCTTGCAGGACGGTTTGACGGGTCCAGATGGGGTGGTGCATGCGCACCATGACGCTGGCTGGGACATGCTGGCTTCGTGGGACTTTTTCCGCCTAAAGCTGCATAAGTGCACCCTTAGAGTACTCAAATATAGGACTGACAGAATTTTTTAGCAATTTTTTGAGCTCTCCTAAATCCTTTGGCAATCTGTTGAAAACTTGTTTCGGTCTGCTCCTGTTTTATTTATTTAAAACGTTTATATCCTGTCCTACACAATAAAAACGTCCCAGGCCGGCTTGCAAAATTATAACAATAACAACAACAAATAATAACAAAAGTTATAACAATTAGTAACAACAACAAATATTATGTAAACAACAAAAGCATAATATCAAAATCAGGAACAAAAGCAAAAACAAAAAGCAACTGTGGATGTTAAAACCAAGTAAAATTTCTAATTCTTAAAATGACAGGTAAAATAAAAAGGTTTTCGCCTGGTGCCGGAAGGAAAGGTTTTCTTTCTCGCTATGTTTTTCAGCTTCAAATGGGAAAAGTGCACATTTGAGCAAGAAATAGGTGCATTTCTGGGTCTATTCTGAGGAAGTGCACATCTTTCCCCGACTGGTTACGCTTGAAGTGCATTACTGGTTTTTTTAATGCACGTTTTAAAAAACGCATATTTGAATGCAGTCACAAGTGTGGGTGCTTCTCAAAAGAAAGCCTCCGGTTTGCCTTCAGGAACGAGGAGACACATTTGCACGATCTGTGAACAGAAACAATGAAGTTTGCACCTCCTGTTCACCAGGTGCAGACACCATGTAGACTTGCCTGCCCCCCAGTGGCAATCAGAGGAACAGCAGTTGGCTTGGAGCCAAGCTACCCCAAAAGCATTTAGGGGGTGTCATGGCTGGGAGACTGGAGCTCCGAGGTCCATGGAGCAGAACCAGAAGTGATGCAAAGATAGTGAGGTGCAGAAGTGTGGCATGCGGGGTGAAGCCTGCTCCAGGATGACCCACAGGTAATTCGGTGTGTCTCTCTGACACAGGTTCATAGCAATCTGAGCTGAGGACCCTCCAAACCAGGGGCTTTGTCTCCAAGCTACAGCCCTTGGACTAAAAAATAAATCAAGATTCCGGTCCTCATGGTTCTGAATTGAGGGCTGATATAAATAGGGGCATAGGAATTTGCTCTCTGGCAGCAACACTCTCTAGGGTTTTAGGAAGAAGTCTTTCCTAGCCCCATATGGGTATGTCTCCAGCGATAAGAGCGCTCTGAAACTGCCTCTCAGAGCTTCCCAGGTTCCAGGTCAAGTTAATGTTGGAAATTTTGAGTGGCAGACAAGTTCAGACAGATCTCTTTTTCAGATTTGCCATTTTTGAGGAAGAACAAGTTCTCTTAAGTCCATTTTTCAGCTGCAAGCACCGAGGCTCAGAGATGAATAATGTTTGCCCTCTTATCCTGGAACTGCCTGTCTCCAGTATACAATATGGCAGAAGCCGGCTGGCCTCGGGTTTACCAGCTCTGCTTTGTTGTTTTTTTACCATAAGTCACATTTTACCATTACTTATTTACCATTAGCAATACTGTGAACCGCCTAGGGATGCTGCTAGCAAAATAGGCGGCATATAAAAATATAAAAAAATTAAAAATTAAAATAATAATACAACACAATACAATCAGCCTGTGATCCCCCAACCACAACTGGATGCAAGTGACAACAAATGTCTTAAAAGTGCCCCGGGAATAGTGTCACTCCAGGAATGCATTTCTGGGCTGCTCGAAGCTGCCCCTTCACTCCGAAGCCGCCTTGCGTTTCCCGGCGCCGTCTTCATTTAAGCAGCCCAATTATGCTGATGGGCCCCCAGATCCTTGCTGAGCCACTGCGGCTCCCCCTCAGGTTTGCCAGTGAATCGCAAAACCTTTCCACCTGCCCCTGCAGTGTGGGGTTTATGCTGCCCCTCCCTCCGCAGAGGGGTCTCCGGGGTTTTACGAGCAGGGCCCCGGTCCTGCTCTTCCCCACTGAGCCCCCTCCCTTGCCCGCCTGTCCCTGGCCCAGTGCGAGGGGCGGAGGAGCAATAGCCACGAGGGTGGCCAGGAGGGCTGGAGCCGGGTGGGGGGGAGCCGTGTCTTGCCCCAGGGCCTCCCCAAGCCCGGGAGCGGCCCGCGGGGGGGTGGGCTTCCAGGCTGACTTCTCGGAAGCCCCACCTGGCCTGAGCGTGCCACCCCCAAAGATCGCCTGGCCAGTCTGTCTGTTCCAGTGTTGTCTGTTCCAGCTTGCTCTGCTTACTATCGCTGTTTTGCTTTCAGAACACACACACACAGCTTTGTTTTACACCTCGCTGTAAACTGTCCAGAGAGCTCTGGCTGTGGAGCCGTATGGGGATAACATTAATAATGGTGATCAGTTGCTCCTCCACGGCAGGGAAGCGAGATCGGCCACGCACCCCAGGCCATCTGCCCCTGGGTTTGCCCCCAGGGCGCTTGCCTTCCTTGCAGCAGCACTCTCGAGGGCTCCCACCCAGATCAGGGTCCGAATGCGGGGCGGGGTGGCCCCAAATTCCCGCCAGGCATCGGTGTGCGCTTTGGTCTTCCGATGCAGCTGCACCCTTGGGTGACCAAGTCTGGGGAGGACCCGCTTCCCTTGGAAGAAAAGCACTGCTCCATCGTGGAAGTCACCGAGGAGGAAGTGAAGAACTCCGTCAAGACCATCCCCAGTCTGCCTACTGTGGTGCGTGTGGCGGCGAACTCGAGGCACCTGGCGGGATCCATTCTCCTCACCCAGTGGCTGTCCAGGAGGGCACTGACAGCCCCCGTGCCAGCACACCCTCTCGCCCATGCTCCTCAGCACCTGCTCTGCACAGGCATACTGCCTCTGGTACTGGAGGCAGTGCAGAACCATGAGGACTAGTAGCCCTGGAGAGCCCCTGCTCCTCCCGGAACTTGCCCAGCCCCTGTGAGAGCTGCCCAGGTGCGTGGCCATCACTCCATCCCGTGGCAGCAAACGCCATAGTTTGCTCTGTGCGAAGAAGCCCAAACCGCCCACCCGTCGGCTCCAGCAACCACAAAGCCCCCGGGCCAGAGCGGCAGGGGCTACCAATCCCCTGCTGCAGGGGACTGAATCCCAGGCACCGTGGCTGAGGGGACACGCGCCAAGAGTGGGAGGGCTGAGCAAGGCGGGGGAAACCACGCCAGCATGGAGCTCACTCAGTCACCTGCAGGCACACCCGGGCCAACGACCGAGCACTGTGGAGACCATGCAGGGGCGCCTGTCCTGGCGTGTGACCCCATCGTAGGTGCGCCAAGTGGATTTGAGCTTCCCTCCCCTTCTTTGTGGCTTGGGCAGCCCACCGGAGCAGATGCTTCTTCCCCCGGTATTCTAGCCGGCCTGCGCCCAGGCTCCAAGGGAGCCTGGTTTTGACTGTGATCCCAAGACAACAGCAGTGACCTCCTTTGGATTCGAGCTGCTTGAAATTAGCTCCTAGCTTCCAGAAAAGGCGTCACTGTGGCAGCGAGATCTGACGCTCACAGGGGCCGTCCAAAAATAGATGAAAGGGGCGTTGTTTTTTCCACCTTTGTGATTTATTCGTATTTCTCTTGCTTTCCTCCTTTTCCCAAAGATTTTGGTGAAAGCCATGCTGCGGAAACGATCCTTTGGCAACCCTTTCGAGGCGCAGGCCAGGAGAGAGGAACGGTCCATGTCAGCTCCAGGAGATTTATTAATGTAGGTTACCTGTCTTTTACCTCTGACAATATTTATCTAAGGATGATTCTGTGAGGAAGACGTGAGAAAGAAGGCACACTCGGCAGGCACCCACCCTGGCTCCATTTTAAATGCTCCCGATGCTGCAAGAGCAGCTGGTGTTGCATTGCTTCTGGACATTGCAGGAATTAAAACGGTAGCACCCAGCTTAAAATAGTGGCTTGTACCATTACTAGTTGGCTCACCTGCAGCTGCGAATTTACCTAGGTAAGAGGAAATGCAGAAAGAGTATTTTGCAGAGGGCCTTCGCACACCTGCAGCCACACTCAGGCTGAGTTCAGGCAACTTTACCCAAACCTAGTGGCTGAGTGTGGCTTGTCGTTGAAAGGTAGGTTATTGCGTTGTCTGAACCCAAATACACTAACAAATCTAGCGAATGGCCTACACTGGTGTGTTAGTGCATCTGGGTTCACACAACACTACAACCTTACACCAAACCAAGGGTTCTTTCGGTTCGTGGGTTGTTCATGCTTAACAAGCCAGGACTTGTTAGTGTTGCTGGGTTCGGATAGCGGTTACCCATGTTCCAGCCACAACCTGCAGTTCAGCAGCTCCCACACCCGTCCCGTCCTGCAGCCTAGTTCTGCTGAAGGGGCTGTGCACCAAGCTGCTCATTCACATTTCCACTCTGCACCAATCCTGTCAACTTACAATTTTACGTTTAAAAAACTGCTCACTTTCAGTTAGCAGTGGAGAAACAATGAACCTACTAATGGGATTCAGGAGATAATATTTTAGGAAGCCTGTTGGAGCTAAAGTTGTACCGAATTTTTCAGCTCAGCCTTTTTTCAGGCATTAGAATCGGGGAGGACAGAAAAACCATTCCCTTGAAAATCAGGACAGACTGGATTTCAGAGGGTCACACAAACGCACGGCATACGAAGTATTGGAGGCATGATGTTCCAAACCTACACCAGTGTACTCACATGCAAAGGGAGTAAAGGCAGTGAAAAATCTAGTTTGCTTTGGCAAACAAGACCCAGTTTAAGTCTAGAACTTACTCTGCCCATCATTAGTTAACGATGAATTCAGGGAGAATTGAATGCGGGGTAGAATTTTGCCTGGAAAAAGGAAGTTTAAAGCGAGCCATGAGGGTGGAGTATTGACGACAATACTTTTCTCTGCCGTGCTGTTTTACATTGTACCAGAGTATTCAAGACAGATTGTAAAAGGCGAAGTCACTTTATGTCTCATTTTAATAAGAAGAAAGTGATATTCCAATGATGTGAGTGGGATGAACTACTTTTAATTGTTATTTTTTTCAATCCTGGGCTGCATCTTCCCACACCCTCCCCTTCCACCTTCAGTGGCTCAGACTTTGAAGTATGAGAAATTGGCAATTGTAATGTTCTGTGTATTTCCGCACTGGGGGAAAGATAATACCTTTCATATTCCCCAAAAGAAAATTAAAGAAGAAAGGAAATTAGACCAGAAATTAAAAAAAAAAACCTTTCCAATTTCACAATTTGTTTAATTAGGCATGTGGAAAAGAAGTAATTGAAAACGTCTCATCTTTTGCCAGGATTGCGGAAAGACTGCAGGGCTGTTAGGATTTTCTCATTTCAGGTGAAAACTTGACGGCTGGGTTCCCTTTTAGACACTCACATTTTAATTTCCTTTAAACCAATGTGTCATTTCCAGGATGGTGGAAAGAGCAAAACAATTTCCAGCTTTTTTCTGTGGAGGTTAGATGTTTTCTGGGCTAATGTGACTGATGCACAGCATAATCCTTTCTCAAAATAAGTTCTGTTCCACTGGGATCCAGGTTCTGTGCCCTGCGAGGCACATCCATGATTTCAGGGGTTCCCCCGTCCCTCCAGCTTTCCTTAACATTCAGCAGGTGCCCCCCGAAACCAGCACACAGCATCTCCCAGCTAGAGCAGCTGCTGAGAAAGGACAGGCTGAGAACGCCGCTTTTAGGCAGCCCAGAAGCGTGTGGCCAAATCTGGACTCGACCTGTTATATTCAGCAGGCCTTCCTGCCGCAAACAGGATTCCGCCCACTGCGCTCGGCTGAGCAGATGCGATTTGAACTGCACTGCTGGAGTGGCTCTGTAAAAGCCTTCTGGCCCAGCATCTTCCTCCTCATTGTGGCCCATTCCCCACCTCCAGAACAGGCACAGCCGGGCCCTTGCCGAGGGCCCCGATTGCTTCCTCTTCAGCACCGTGCGATCTGCTTCTTCCCTGCCTGAGGCGAGAGGAAGATTCCCGCGCATGCTCAGTTAGGCAAAGAAGTTCCCCAGCTCCCAGCATGCCTGAGGCAGCCGGCACTGTTTCTGTTTAACATGCCAAAGATAGCACTCTTAATTAATTGCACCCAGTCTGAAGACCTCCTTCGTTTTGTCTGTCCAGAATCAGCCCCTTCGATGCCTCCAAATCCTGATTTTCAGCTCCTGCTTTCCTGCGCTTCCCCACCACCACCGCTCCAATCCATGTTCATGTCGCTCATGCAGACTTCTGTCATTGTGCTTGATGCATGAAATCTTACCAGCATTTGGTTTTTTTTCCCCTGCCCACTCTTCCTTTCCATTCTTTGCCTCCAGGCATGGTTTTCGCTTAAGCCCGTCTGTTTATTTGCACCCATCTTTAAGGTAACTCATGGACCTCGGTCCTCCTGTGTGCTCTCAGATTGTCCCTACTCTCCCTGTGGCTTTATGGTGTCCGTGTCCGTGTGTGTGTTACAGAGAAGATGTTCTTTATCTCCATAGAAAAGTAAATGCAGGTAGTGCTCCTTACTTAGGTGTAAAACCCCTTCTATTGCTGTTCTAGTCCTTCTGTATCTTCCCTTTTTTCTCCCCCTTGCTGTTTCAAAACTTTGATCAAGCTTGGGCAGGTCTTGGCTCCAGAGCCGCGGACAGGGATAGGCTGGACGTGCACAGGGCGGGCATGTCGTGAGCGGAGCTGGCTGGTGCCGGGGGGTCAGACTCGATGGCCCGGGAGGCCCCTTCCGAGTTGCTCTGCTTCTATGTTTCTCAGCAGTACTCTCATGGGCAACTTCTGTTTCCTACTTTCCCCTCTTCTTTGAATGACTGTTTGTCTCAGTCCTTAGTGACTAGTTCAGCCAAGGCAATGCACTTTGGATTTGAGGATGCTTATAAAGGAAAGAAAGGACCTGTGTCAGAGGGGACACAGTTTATAGAATGCAGTTGAACTATGGATACGGAATAGAAGCAGAAGCAAGTACCTGCGCTTTGCACTGATTCCCTGCACAGACCAGGAGGTTCTCTGTTGGGCTAAGAACAAGGCAGTGCTTCTCGCCATGGATTTTATGCAGTGTCCCTCTCCCAGTGTTTCAGAGGCTGTCAGTTCACGCAGCATCCAACCCACCCTTGTTCCTGAGAGATAAGGTGGAAGGGTGAAGTTGCTTCATTGAAGGAAACAGTTTTGCTCTCACAGCAAAAGCAGCGCTTCTCTACGGCATGATTTTGGAAGGCTGCTCCAAGGCCAGTCTCCCTGGAGGCCAAAAAGCCCTGGTGTGGCCCTGAGAAACTGCTGGCTTCTGGACACGGGGAACGTTTGCCGTAGTCCCTGCTGAGCCTTTGCAGCCTTGCCGTTCTGCTTTCATTAGTGGCCTTCCAATGCACTGTCCCTGAAGGCATCCTGTATTTGAGGGGCTGCCCAGCTCACGGTCAGATTAAAGACAGAGCCTTGGCTAGAAGCTGGCCAAAAATTAATTAATTAAATATCACCCAAAAGGGGGTCCAAAGGGGCTGTTGAAGTCACTTATCCACCATTCTCACAAAGACTAAACTGGCTCACCCACACAAGGCCCCCCGTCAGCTACTAATCCGCAGCAGCTACTTCTGGCCTTGTTGCAAATCGGAAGTTCGAGGGCTGCACAAGCTGTGCGACGCAACCACTACGTAACCTCTGGCGGGGTCCATGACGGAGCAGAATAAGCACAAGTACGTAAGTGCAGAAAAGCTTGCCTGGCTTTCAAAGTTGAACAGCGTATTAATTTAGTTAGGCCTGGTGCCCGTGGTTAACCTGTCCAAGGGTTAAGTCTCCCACTGATGAGCCCTTAACCTCCACTTGCTTCTTTTCAATGCCTGTAGAAAGCAAGGGAGCCGCGAAGGGTTCAAGGACCCAGAGCTGCCTGACGTGAGCGAAGATGAGACGACTTCCTGAACCCCTCAGCACGTTCCAGACCAATCGTTCCAACACTCCGCTGTAGCTGTCGTACTCGCTGATGTGGTCTTGCACGCTCTGATGTCTTCATCCACCAAAGTTTGTGAAAAATAGAGGAACTTACCTGCATACATCCATTTCCAAGAGATACAGCAGCAAAGCCAGGCTGGTGGAGCAAGAAAGGGGACTGGAGTATTCGAAAGAGTACTGGAGCCGGGTTGCCTGCATTCGTTCCTGCGCGAAGGCATTTTTGTGTTGCATCCTTGAAAGGCACCTCATCTTCCAGGGGTGTTTCATGCCCTGGCAGGTGGCTGACCATGGTGAATCGGCAGACAGATGAGCACCTGCTTTGTAAATTCAGCCAAACATCTTCGGCCAGCCACTGTTTGGTTCGAACGGACAGGGTACTTTTGACGTTTCTTTTCAGACACACGTGATTGTGTGTCAGGTTGTCTCCCCTAAACTGGATTTTGTCGATCGCAGGAAGGTACCTTGGTGTGGTTGCCATGGACTTCTGCCAAAACAGGCCAAGTCTCCAGTCTCTGTGATAAGGATGTGACCCACAATGTTTTAACAGCGCCTCCCCCAATCTGGCACCCCACAGGTGTGGGGGCACCACCGTGGCCGCGGAGGTACATCTGGTTGCTGTCCGACACACCTGGAGGTTGGGGAAAGCGGTCTCCAAGCCGGTACACTGAGGTTTCCAAAATTCTCCTTTTCCAAATTTGCCACCCCATATTTATCCTTTCTCTTCTGTTCTTCCCCTCCCGGTTCCCACTTTTGCTGAATAGACACGCATGCGCCACTGGCACTGTTCTCGCATGCCGTTCCCTGCGCTGAGGCCGAAGCAGGGCGTGTGTCGTCATGTTCGAGCCGGCACGTTCAGGCTGGTCTGAACTGGGCTGGCAAATGGGCGTCATGCGCAGCTGCTTGGGCTCGCCCCACAATCCAGGGGATTGGATGGCACAACCAGGGAGGAACTGGCAAGAGGGGAGTACACCAAAGGGGGTAATCCAGAGAGAGGTTTGCACCCCGAATCATCCCAGGTGGACCCACCCCAAGGGGTGTGGCAGAAAGCCAAGCTGTCGCGTGTAGCAGCCGTGGAGTGCCAAAGGGGTGGCTATTCTTGGTGTAAGACACCTAAGAAGGGTGGACAATCCCTTTTTGGGGGCATGGGGTGAGAGAAACCCCTTCAGAAGGGGAGCCCAGGGGTGCCTCTATTCACCGCAAATTCTTCCGGATCCTGCTTGAATGCGGTTTCCCAGCAGCAAGCCCGACCTGGCATTCGTGTGCCTTGAACCGGCACACATGCCAAAGCTACCCCGAGCACATTGCTGCGGAGTGAATGCGGCAGAGCATCCAGAGCAAATGCTTGGCTGTGCATCAGGACGGCCAACAGGAGCTTGTCTGTGGAGCAAAAGGTGAAACGGCTACTCTGGATGGGCATAACCTTAATCTGCCTACCTGTCCCTCAGCTGGAACCTAACGTCACATCTACCCTTTTTTGTGGGTGCCAGAGCCTCCAAAAATACCTATCAGGAGTCCGATTTTTACCACAGATGCAACAGAAGGACCAGTGGTTTAGCCTTTCGTTCATTTTTCCAAACCCAGGTTCTGTGCATCTGAACCTTGGGAATTTTTTAATGTGCACCTGAATATTCACAAGCCTTCTAGTACACATTTCTGGGATGTGTGCATGTTTACTAGTAAGCATTTTTGCCTAATGTACACATTTTTGCAAGCCACTTTCCTAATACAATCCATTTTTAATGTAATGTCTCCCATATGCGGTTTGCACATATTTTGGATTGGAGAACTGCACTGCAAAACTGAGAGCTGTACTAATGTGGAAGCTTGACCGAGTGCCGGCTCAGAAGTGCAAAACCAGTTAGATAAGGGAGCATAATGGAGGAAAGGGGAAGAGTAACTTTGAAACAGTAATGCTTAAGAAAGAAAGGAGGGACAGATCAGTCGCATTCTGCTCGGGGTCACATGCCTTTGTCAAAGTCAGCCCCAACCTGCCCCCCCCCCCCAATTCGTGGACTTTCTTCTCAAATGCAGCGAGCCCTGGGAATGTGTTCCCGCTTTGCTTTTCCCAAGGCCTTGGGGATCTTTCCAAATGGCCTGCTTGACGTGGGAGCGGGGTTACTCCCCTCTCAGGAGCAGGAAATGGGGAACCGGAGCGCAGAAGAGGGGCAATGGGCCCGTTAAGACCTCCCCATGGCTCCCCCTTCCCCTCAGGTCGCACAGACACCGTCCGCAGGTCAGGTCAGGGCCCCTTTGGGCGAGGCCAGGGGGGCATCATTAAAAAAAAAAAAAAAAGCCCCACTCCCTGGGTACCAGGATTATCTTCACATGCTACCTCAAGAGCAGTCGCAGATCCACTTGGAGGAATAGCCAATTCAGTGCATGTTGCTGCAGAGAGAGGGGCGGGAAGGGTCGATACTGTGCCTGCCTGGGAGAACGGGGGAGCCCCTTCTGGCGTGCCAGCAGCGGGGTCTTGCTGCCCGACCCCCACGGCAGGTAAAGAAAGAACAACACTGGCTGCCCACCTGGGAGCGGGGGCTCAGATCAGCCCCCGCCCCTGCTGCTTCTCCCTCTGGCATGAGGCAGCTGTCTGGATAAAATGCCAGGGGAAGGCCGTGGGTAATTGCGCCCACCCTGGCTTGCGGGAGGCTGCCATGGGGGCAAGAGGAATGGGCCCTAAAGCGGGAGTGCGCGCCACACATGACACTCGCTCACCTGTCTTCCAAAGAGGAGGGTCTTTGGTGTTCAGGAAGTACACCTTGCAAGGGCTGCACCTACATTATGTGTTGGGCTGACAACCACCCTGCAAGGTAGGCCAGCGGTGTGGTCCCAGTAATTGGGAGACACTGGGGCTTGCCAAAGAAACACAGGAACAGAGCGAGTCAGAAGGGACCTCCCAGGCCATCGAGACTGACCCCCGGCTCCAGCCGGCTCTGCTCACAACATGCCCACCATGTGCATGTCCAAAGAGAATTCAGGGGGGCTGTGGAAGGTCCGATTTCCAACCTGTGCTCTCGGCTGCTTCTCCAGCTGCTAGCATAGTCCTTCGCTGCAGATGCCCAACCATGGAGTCCGATGTCTGATGTGGGCTGGAAGTAACCTTTGGCCCAGAACAGGGCACTCGGACACCCCGGCGAGGCGCTCAAAGCTTCCAAGACGCATGCATGCGGCACGCGTTCCTGACCGCTAGTCACGGCGAGGCCGGCCCTGCTTTGGAACCACCCACCGGGAATGCGCCTTGCAAGCCACGCATGCACACGTGACCACCCACCCCACACCGCCCCGTTCGCGGCTTGCGCCGCCCTGCACGCATCCCGTGCCTGCCCTGTGCTGCCGCGGGCGCGACGTGACCGCCCGTGTTGTGTGTGTTCCCGGCCTCCCCCAAAGAACCCCGACGCATGAGGCTGCGTGTACAGTCCACACCGAAATGGCTGCGCTGTAAATATGTATCATGAATAGAGAGCTTATTTTTGGGGTTGGGTGCATGCTTTTGTACTCGGGGGCCGGGGTGGGTGGGCTGGGGTGGAAATGCCAGTGAAGAACTTGGAATAAAACTACCAGTAGAATCCTGACAAAAATGGAAGCTGCGTTTTCCTTCAGCCATTTTGCCACTGGACCGAAAAAGCAAGCACAAAACGCAAAACTCAGTCATGAAGCTCACGGGGCAACTTTGGCAAAGCACTGACACACCCTGGCCTACCTCACAGGGTTGTTCTGAGGATACGGCGGAAAGGAGGGGGCTTTGGGTTGCTTGTAGGAAAAAAGGCGGTGCGAAAGAAACAGGGAAAGAAATCAGAAAAGAAGAAAAGCCAAATGGAGCAATCCTAGCGGCCGGATCAGTTCGAGATGCAAGCTGCATGAGCAAAGTGCCAGGCCGCCAAGCATTTCTTCCCCTCACAGGTGGGGACGGTGGCCCATCCCTGTGGGCGCATCCAGTCCAGCGCCTGACCGGACTCGAGTCCACGCGATCCTAGAACTGCGGCACTGGCCACCACCACACAGCCACCGAACCCTCCCCTTTTCGGAACTAAACGCACCCACAGGGAGTTGCCCCCAGCCCCTTGGCTCCGGGTTCAAGTCCCTACCCAGCCACAATGCTCGCCGGTTTGGGCCACTGTTGTGACTCTCAGCCTTGCCTACCACACAGGGTTGTTGTAAAGGTAACAACAGAGGGTTCTGTTAGCTGCCTTGGCATCCTTGCTCCCGCCCCAAAGTGGGCAAATGATATAATCCACATAATTTGTCGATCAAGCCCGTGGTTCCCTTGGCTTTCTTGTATGGCTGCTTCCCAGCTGTGTCTGGAAATGCAGGGAGGTTAAATTCAAGGCCTCCTGTATGAATACCAAGCCGCAGCCCTTGCAAAACATGCAACGCTCTCCCTTTTCTGGTACTGTCCAAGATGGAGCTGCTTGAGCCTCAGATGGCTCCAGAAAGCTGCCCGGTCCTCAGGATTTCTTCTGGCTGGCTGTCTTTAGACAGTCTTCCCATCCAGGCTACAGAAAGGAAACTGCCATTTAAATCTGCCCCCCCCCTTTTTTTCAGGCCTCCCCACACATATAAAGCTAGCACAAAGGATCCGAGCGTGGTGCTTGCAGGGCCGGCTTTCCCACTGCAGGCAGGTTTTCCCACCTCCCAAGTGGCAGGAATCGGCCACGTCTCCAGTGCGTGAGATGGATGTTCTCTTGGGGGCCTCAGCTTAGGCCACGCGTGGGGAAGGGGGCTGGAGTGTGGCACCGTGGTCAACACAGCCACCCAGGGTGCGGAAGGCCTGAGCTCCAATCCACCCCTCCCCCCCCAGCTGCCTCAGAGGAAGAGGGAAATACAGAATCTTCTGGATGCAAGAGCTAGGAGAAACCCATGGCGTGCGCTTTGTGCCGAATTATGGACCAAATTATGGACCACTCTCGGTGGTTTTCAACTGCAGCTCATGTAACCCAATGATGGGGCATGCTGGCAGAGACTGATGGGAATGTTAGTCAAACCGTAAGTGGAGGACTCCATGTCCCCCAAGCCGTAGGGAAAAAGGAAGTTGGGAAGGTGGGACACAGACGGAGCTTTACTGTGGACAGAGAAGCATTAAATGAGCTTTATTCTACTGGGCTTACCCTTCTCCATCATTTGTACAGGAGAGACACTCCACTCTCATTTGCACACCCGAGTGCCCACCTGCACCCACGATGCGCTTCCGTGCTTCCCCTGCCTCCCACTCTCATCCCCTGGGATTCCAAACGCGAGTCCAGCTTTCAAAGGCAGGATTGCCCCTCGCCCTGCCCCAAGACGACGCAGGCCATGGCCTTCCTCTCGGGCCCTACTGACACTTTACAAAGAGTTTAAGATCCTCGAGGAAGCGGATGTACTCCCGGTGCTCCAGAGCCGTGCTGAGATTCACCAACTCATCTGCAAATGTGTTGTCCACGCCTCGGTCGGCCAAGAAATCCATCAAGTGGTCATAAAGAGCCTGGGGGGAGAGCAGCAGAGTCAATAAACAGGGTACCAGAAGAGCGCAAGAGCCACTGCAGAAACACAGAGGGGGTGTTTCCTCTCTGGCTGGGAGCCGCGGGCCTTCCTGGGCTACAACTGACTAGGTTTGCTGCATAGGTCAGCTTTACTCGATCAAGAGGCATGGTTAATTAACTCAGGCAGCATCGATCAAGGGGCTGGAATGGATGACCTCTGCAATCAAAGTCACATGTCCAAAAAACAAAGATTATGCAAAACAGGTGTGCACAATGATCCGTGTGCACACAGGTTAAAATATGCAAAATAATCATGCACACACAGATCAGTATGAAAAATACTCGGGCTTGTGCACACAGGTAATAGGCAAAACAATCAAGCACAAAATAATGATGCATGTGGACCAAACCGCCCCATGCACACAATTAAAATTATGCAAAATAATCACATGCACATAAGCCCCAACTGAGACAGTGCAAACTCAGTGTGTACACACATGCACAGCTGAGGAACGGCTGCACCTACCCAGTCCAGGGAGTCCGTATTGAGGGTGTAGTTGTTCTCCCGCCATTCCGACTCTCCGGTGGGCTGGAAGCTGACCTCTCGGATGGAGAAGATGTCACTTTCGCCTTCCTCGCCGTGATCCCCCTGATGTGGGGACACCCCGCCCCAAGCAGGCACAGGAGGGAAGCCAAACTTAGCAGGAGCACATTTTCAAGGGCTCAAGATTCAGGCATGGAGAGACAGGGAGGGCAAACTTGCTTGTGGAGATCTGGACCAACTACAAGGCCCTGCAGACGTGGCTAGACTCCCATTCCCATAATCCCCGACCACTGGCCAGAAACTGCACGCTCACCAATGCTTGCCTGCCTTCCATGGAATTCAAGGGGGCAGATGAAGGCTCCTCCTGGGGTTTTCTTGTACCAGTTTCCAGCTGGTGCAAAACTTCAGCAAAGGAACCCTGCCTGGGTTTGCGTGCTCTTGAGGCAACCGGAGAGCTTGCAACCCGACAGCCAACCCGCTGGAGGCAGACACAAAGGCCCCCACGGGGCTCTCACAGGGGCCACCACCAGCACGGTCACGCTTGCAGCCGACAGCCAAAACAACAAAAGGGTCTGCAACAAAATGATGCAGCGCAGGGTGTTCCTGGGTGGGACTGCAGTCCCTGTGTGGGACTTCCCCTGGATTTTGCTCTTTCTGACCCCCCATCAGGATCACACAGGCTATTTTGCTGCTCTCCCCTGAGGGTCCCTCTCTCCTGCGTATCTGTCTTTCCAAGAGCTGCCCCAAACCAGCTGCCCCCTCCTCTGCGTGCGGGTGATGCTGCTTTGGCTATATATAGTTCACATTTGCTTATGCAAGGGATCCCCAAACTTTTCAGACTGGCAGCCACAGCTCAGATTTTGAGCCTGTCGTGGGCACTCACTCAAGAGGGCCGCCGCAGGGGGGGCGGGGCCAGTCCAACAATAGGGGCAGCAAGGGGCAAGGCAGTCCCAAGCGGCCCCTTTCCCAGATGAAAGCATCTGGCGAGGCTAAAATTCAGGTGAGGTGACCAAGGAGAAGGCAGAGATGAGACCTGAGATCCAAGACCCAAACCCACCCTTTTGGACATTTCTGCACCCATTTCACAGCAGGCCAAGCTGCAGCAGGGTATGCTGTTTTGGCTATGTAAGTTGCAGCACTCGGAGAACAGTCACGACGACACCCACCTCGTCCTCTGGGTAGTGGCAGTCCAGCACGAGCGTCTGCTTGGTGTCGTCTTTAGTGACCTCCACCACAAAGTTTGGGTTTGACATGAGCTCAGGCTGTAGGAAAAGGACAGACAATGGATGACATGGGCCTTCGAAGCGCCCATCACGCTTTCCTCACTGGGTTGCTGACAAGACAAAATCCAAGGCTGTTGCTTTTTCATCACTGCTGCGAATTATTAGGCAAAGCATATGGCAAAACAAGCCAGTCCCACTGAAATCCAATTTATTCCTTCACTGATTACACGCCTATCATTGTCCCCCTTTGGAAGGAACCCAAGGCAGCTTCTTAACCCTCCTCTTCTCAGTTTATCCTCAAAACCACCCGGTGAGGTAGGTCAGGGGCTGGCCCATTCTCGTGTTTTGCTCCATCTCCAGTATCCAGCTCACCCAAGTCCCAGTCCAGAACTCCATTACTTCACACTGAAACATGTCCACAAAAATAACTGGCAAATAGCACTGCTTTGACCCCAAAACCTGCAGTCCATCAACCCAATCTGTGAGACTGAACATGCTTTCCTTTTCTCTCCCCATCTGGGTTTCCTTTTGTGCTGTTTTACGCTGTACTGCTGATGGGCAGAGAGACTGACTGGCTTTTATAGAATTATATACCGTTCTGGTACCCTCTGGAGCTGAAGGCAGCAACAAATGGTTCATATACATCAACATTTATTTATTTGATTTATATCCTGCCTTTTTCCTACAAAGGCCTCAAGGCAGCTTGCATCATTCTCCTCCTCCATCTTATCCCCCCAACAACAACCCTGTGAGGTAGGCTGGGCTGAGTGTCTGTGACTGGCCCAAAGTCACCCAGTTGGCTCCATGGTGAGCAGCGACTAGAACCTGGATTGTCCGAGTCCCAGTCCCATGCTCTTCACCACGACACCACACTGGCTCTTATGTATTTATATACATAAATACCAATATTAATCTACACACAAAAATATTTCCCCGAGCTATTAAGGTTCCAGTCCTGCTTTCCTATGCATTAGAAAAGCAGCCCAGGATGGAAAACCAGACACAACATTAACTTGCATTCAGCTTCTCATGAAAACCCAAAGCTGTCTGAAAATAAAAGTCCAGCCAAGCTGCTGCACAGGAGAGGAAGGTGAGCCAAGTCCCTTTCCCCTCCCCAACCTCAAGCCCTCACAACAAAATCCCAAAATCACGAGGACTAGACTCTCCCCAAAGGATACCAGATCTTGGTTGAAATGTCATGTCGTCCCACTCGTCTCAGCTGGTCTTCCAAGCTGGTGCCCACCAGATACCTTGGACAACAATCCCCATCATCCCTCTCCAGCATAGCTGCTTTGTGGGGAATGGCTGTCCGACCAGATGACCCCCCCCTCGGGTCTCAGGGGGCCCTCTGAGGCAAGGGGCTCTTCTGTCACTGACTCCCCAGTCGATGTAGCTGAAGATGCCAGGAGTTGAATCCACCCACCCTAAAGCAGCTCCACTCACCTCTTGGTCTTCCTCAGCCTTCTGCCCTTCTGAGGGCTCCTCAAAACTCGGCGGGATGCTGTTGTTAATGTTGAAGGAGACGGTGACCCTGCCGGACAAGGGACCCACGATCAGCAAACCAGCATCCACAGGAGACGCAGCACAGCGCTCGGGCTTCTAGCACCCCTTCCTGAAGGTGGCCAGTGGGGCCCCTCAGGCTACCCAAGCCTTGGCTTGCAGCGAGGAAGCAAGCAAGCTTCGTGATGCCAGCCCTTTCCGCAAGCCCCATCGCTGTCCTCCGGGCGCCACCCCCAGCCCACCAAGGGTCAGTGCCGCTGAGGACATGGGAACGCCTTCTCTGCACCATCCTCCTCAGAGTTCCAAGTCTTAAAGTCAAGAATTCACATTGGGGAAAAACCGTGCAGCACGAAGTGCGTCTTCGCCTATTCCAGACACTCCACCCCCTTTTCCCCTCCAACAAAGAGCGAGCATTTTATGGTTGCTGTGATTTTTGGGGAAGGGGTTCTGCCCCCATTTGTTTTTGTTTTGGTACTTTGGCAAACACTGGGTTTCCCCAACGCTGCTAACATCTCCTTTCTTATTTTGCAAGATGTTGTTCAAGCTTCACAAGGATTGTCATACTGCCCAAGTAAATAAATAGCTCTATTGGATACATGCCAATTCAAACAAATTATATGCGTTTGGACTACAAAGAATCCGTTTTTAACCAGTCCAGAGGTTCTGATTGTTGATTCTTTCTGTTTTGCATACAATGGGTTTTGTGTTATGTTTTATAGTGTCAATTTAAGGGTTTGTGAACTGTCCAGAGGGTTAAAGCAAGTTAAAGCCCCCCTGGCAGATGGGTGCCTCCAGCGTGGGAGACTCAAGAGGCAACTGGTCCCATGGTGTTTGCTCTGACAGTGATGAGAATTTTCCTGATCTCTCGCTGGAACCTGTAGCTCGAGCCCACTGTTCCCTGACCTGCACTCTGGGATGATCGAGAAGAGGTCCTATCCTTCCTTTGTGAGACGACCCTTCTGGGCTAAACAAGCCAGCTCTTTCAATCTCTCCTCACAAGAGACAAAAGGAAGGAGGGGAAGGAAGAGAAAGTAATGATCTTTGAATTGCACGGACAATCCTTTTGACCCCGTGCTCCTCTGTGAACATTTCTGGCACACTCACGTTTCACCGGCTACTTTCCGCGTCAGCTTAGCCTCAGTCCCTTGCACATCCAGCTCCCACCCGCCAGACAACTTGGGCAAGGATTTGTGTTTCTGGATTTTCTTCTCCTCTTTAATTTCGTCCGTCAGAAACTCAGCAAAGGCTTTGTCACCTGCAAATCAGAAAAGGAGAAACATTATGTCCCAGAAAGCCCTGCTAGGAAAGGGTTAGGAAAGGGCAATGCCATCTATTCCTGTCCATCATGCCAACCAGCTCTTTCTGCACATGACGGTTGCCCATGCCATCTTGGAATGATGGGAACTGTAGTCGTATTACCTTTCTATATTGTCAAAGCTGTTTGAGTAGTTCACAATATTAAACTAGAAAACACAATGAAATATAAAATATATAACAACATGTAGAAGTCTAAAGCTATGGTATAAAATAAAACCTAGCAAGGGCACCATCCTATGTATTCCTGAAGCACCAGGGCACTACTTCTGCCCAAATGCATACAGGGCTGCACTGTAAGCGATTTAAAACATCTAGAGGGTAGATGCTGAGAAAGGCTGGGTCTTTGTTTTTAACTAACAAAGGAATTTAACCTAATGCCTTGGGGAAACGCAAATTAAGGAAAAGTGCATCTTGAGGCTGTGAATCCCTTGCAAGAGGAAAAATGGTAAACTATAAAAGCAATGTAAAAATAGTAATGTAGCAAGCTCAGGAGGACAGAATAAAGAAATTCTTCTCTCAACTTGACCAAATACTCCTGTCCAATGTTGTGGGCTGCCCAAGTTTTAGTGCCATAGAAGGCAGAGAAAAATGTATTTCTACTCATGCCCATACAGTTTATAATAATCAATAACTGGATTCAATCCTGTATGTATTAACACGAGAGTAAACAGACCAAACACTACTTTTTACTTCCATGCCACCATCCATAAGCAGACTCAAGCTTTCATCGTTCCTTCTCCAAACGAAAATTCCCCCAAACTCTTTCACCTTTCTTCATAGTCAAACGGCGCCATTCTTCATGCCTCCCGGTTACTCATTTCCAGTTCTACTTTCGCCATTTTGAATACTTATTCTGAGCAGGCAAACCCACACATGCCTTACAAGGTCATTACCACACTGCTATAAAAGGGCAATAAACATTTTCCCAGCCCCCTTCCTACTGCTCCCCAGCCAGAATGTCTCCTTTTTGCCCTCGCTGGGGACCCGCAGGGGGCCAGCTTCTCCATCGAGTTCTCCCACGCGTGTCAGGTTCTTCCCAGGAGCAAGGCGCACGTGCATCGCACCCTCACGTGGCTGCAAGAAAAAGCCCAGACCGGAACACGCAGCTCCCCTCGACCGAGCCGGTCGAAAGAACGGCAAGAAACCCGCACGTTTTCCAGGCGCGCAAGTCTGTGCGCGAAGAACCCCAAGATGAAGGGGCAGAAGAGGGATCCGCGCACCGTCAAACGAGGGTCCGCCATCGCTCAAGGCCCTGCTGCGGCCAGAATGGGGAGAATGTTGGATCCCTGCTGGGGACGATAAAACCTGGCCGTTCCTCCGGCACGCTCCCCGTCCCGGGACACTGGCGCTCGTTCAACTCCGTGCGCATCCGTTTCGGCGCGCCTAACCTGCTCCCGCTTCCATTTCGCGCGCCCCCAGCCCTCTGCCCCCGCCCCCCCCCGCTGCAGAGCCCGAGCCCTGCAGGCGCGCGCGCATCGCCTCGGGCAGGAACCGCGCCGCGGCGAGGCCGCCGCCCGGGGCGCGTGTGCCCGCGGCCCCCGTCCCGGGCCAGCCAGGCACCC